AAATACCAGTACCTAATGAGTTAATTTAATATTCGTCTACGCATAATGGCTTGATAATTAAAAACGAAAAAATATGATTAATATTTGATTCGAGCATCGTTAAACGAAAAGTTACGTTTATTTATTTTCTCGATTACAATATTTACTAGGTACGATATTTTATAAAACAGAATAGAGCTACAATAATTTATCTTACTCGCGAAACTTTATTTTTGTACATTTAAGACGTTTTATATTTAAGCCACGAAATTCTATTAGTTTGGACACTAATTATTAGATAGTAGACCGGTCGAATATTTCGCTGCACCTGCGAATTGGCTGCGATAATACACTTTGAGGTCTGAGCACGACTTGCAGGCACATCTGCATCGGATGCTCAAGTACTATTATAATACCATCGTACTCTGTGGAAAACATAATATTACACTATATATCGTAGTTTGCAGTACCTACTTAATTGTGTGTCCTGGTCGGGTAAATGTAGGTCCTATGTAATAGCCGATTTCTGCGGGTGCTGATTATTACAGTGTTCGTATTATATATTTTACTACCTAAAGAATTAAAAATTTTATTCTATTCAAACATTTTAAACGAAACTCGCGTTTGACTGATTTATTTATTTTTTTGTTGTTTTATCGCTAGTTCTGTCATTATTTATTTCTATCCCAGACAATGGACATAATATGTTGTAACAGTTCCGGCATAAATTCACAGGCTGTCGCAAAATTTAATTTATATACAACGTCATCATCGTTGCATTTTTTTTATGCAAAACTAATAAATATTTTTCCATAGGTATACATAACATGACAATATTATTTAACTTGATACAATGTCTGTGCGTTGAACGTTATATTTCGTTCATATTTAAAATTGTGCATAAGGGATTTCCCACTTGCATGTCCTAGTTAAATACCTTGTAACTAGAATCAGTTACACGGTGTTGAGCATGCGACACACGAGTTCGCGTGGCATATCGCATGACTATTGCAGCCCCTCGGGCTCACGCTAAATAATGATGATAGATTGCGCTATCCACGACCTACATACCAAAACCACCACGGACAGCATCGAAGGAAGATATTCAATCATCGACTATCATCGACTTAGGATACTTAAATGAAAATGATCCTTTCCCATAGTGATTATGCCGTCAACAGAAAGTGTCAAAATCATAATGTGTGCGGAGAACGTTGTCAATACTAATACAACGTGCAAAGCAAAAGGCTGCTATGAATCGGTAACCCTACAAGTCGGTAAATACGACCGATCCACAGCAGAAAAAGTATATTCCGACCGCTGAGCTGAAGCTGAATTTTTTTGGAAACAATAAAGACCAGCACTCTATTGATTTTTTACAAAACCTAGAAGAATATTTAAAGATAAGACAATTGAATATAGAAGATAAATTGATTATCATACGAGATTGTCTCAAAGGTGCATCGGGAAACTGGTTCGCCACTGTAATTCCAAATAAGAGTATATGCAGAATTTCGAGACGCATTCATGGATCAGTTCTGGTCTCGAGAAGTACAGATACAAACATTCAGCAATTGTTTAAACACGTCACAAGTGCCCGACAATATAACGTACTGAGAACACTTTTCACAATGGTCTGCGAAGCTACGTCACTTACAAGTACCGCAGATATCAGAAGAGGAAATAGTAATGAATATCGCTAATCACTAAAGCATTTTTGGGTTTCATCAACTTTTACCTGAAGCATATTCGGGACCTATAAAAACTAACGACAACCATGAGCGAGTTGTTAAAAAAGGGAGTTCAATGGGATTGGACAAAACAACATCAGGAGGAGTTTGATAAAATCAAACAACTATTTTTGGAAGACCTGGTAATCCTGGACATTGAATTTGAATAATATGCATATCAATTATCCATATTATCGCAATAAAATATAATATATTATGAACAACACTCGTTACCTATTATTGGCTATTAACAATATATTTTCAGCAGAGCTACTTCCTTCCTTATGTTTTTATGACGTACCTACCTATTGTCAGTAGTTAGTTGACTATTATCATTTATTTTACTTTATAATGTCTATAGTGTAATATATTTAAAATTACTGTACTGTTGATTAAAATATTAATCCATAGTATACTGCTTATACAGTAACACACTTGTTCGTATTTTATACATAATAATGCTTACTTCAATAAATTAACACTGACTAGGTATCGCGGTTGTTATCTCATTAAATTTATATTTCTCAGTAGAGTTCATCTATACCTTTAGGCTACAGTCTACTATTCTCACCTTTTTGGGATCATCTATTCATTATTATCAATATTTCACTAACAAAAAAACAAAATCTTAATCTGAAAAATAAAAACACTCTTTTACATGCATATAATATAGCCATAATATAATATAATTATATTATTATTACGTATTCTTATAATCCTTGTAACTAATATAACTACTCTGTTTATTCAAAAGTACGACCTTGTACTTACTGGTTTCTTCATAATAGTACCTACATTATGATAACATTGATAACATAGTATATTATTACATTGTATACATTTTATATTTTATTTTTTTAATAACCATATAGGTACATAATAATAAATGAATAAAAAATCCACTAAATTATAATAGGTATTGTGTATTATATATATAAGATTTCTTTTCTTGGGATAATTGCTTATTACTTGGAATATACAGAGTGATCTCTATTCTCTAAGCATGCTCAGTCCCATTTTCTTTAAATAATGGATTTTTCAAATTCTGTTGTTTTGGAATTTCTTAACATACTTAATTACCATATTTTATTTTTTAAATAATAATACGTGCTATGTATAATTATTATACATAAGATTTTCCTTCTTGAGATAACTATTTACTACTTGGAATATACAGCTATACCTACCTACTTGTTGGTAGTGGTGGTGAGGATATCAGAGTGATCGCGCCCAAGCGAGTTTTTCCAGTCATCCAATTTTTTCCTAGGAGAGTGGCATTATTCAATGACAAAAAAACCACACCAACAACACAGATCGCGCTTGCGCCGAACCCGTTCGGTATTTTATAAATTTTATTACTTTACTAAGCGGCAAGTGCGATTGAGTAGTGTGCTCTGCGACCAGTTCGAGAGAGGACTCAAGATGCATCAAGACACCACCGCTGCTGTTTTACGGAGGGCTATGGTGCTGCTACTTTTGCTGTTGATGTTCTCCTCTTCGTCGTTTCCATCGTACACCAACGACCAGACAAATGCACGTGCGAAGTCACGTTAGTCTCCTGCACTAACCAAGAACTGGACCGGATACCCGACATGATGAACGATACTGAATTTCTGTAAGTCGACTATGCGGAAGATAATACCAACGTTCAAATGCCGGGTGTGCAGTTTGAAAATGCACTTCGTTATTTACTTTTCCCGAGCATCGTGAAATCTAATTTATCAATAATTTGTGTTAACGACAGTGGCATTTTTGTGGATGCAAGGTGGCTATTTTCCCGTTTTGCTATCAAACGTTTTGTTGTCATATAATTGTTACCTTTTAAAGATTAAACTATATACATTTTAATCTAAACGAAATTAATTACATTTAAAATAATAATTTGCCCCATTTCCCCCACTACTGAATACTGCTCAAATATGTACACTGTGTTATGATCTTATGGATATTATAATTGGAGTGGCGGTACGCCTTTTCGCGATCTCAAAGCGTATTGCATCGTATCGCTAGATTGTTTCGCTATGGCGCACCTCCACTCGTTTATATAGAGTAATAAGTTATATTATATAGTATAAGTAATAACTAATGACCATCGACCTGGGTCCTTTAAGCCGTATAAACGCTACACGCGTATTATGTTCTAAGAAATATTTAAACCATCAAATACTAAAATCGACGAAACTGCGAAACAAAATTATAAGATATCTCATAATACCAGCGGATATACGACAAGGATAGGTTTATAAACTCTATAAGGTGTGTTTAAAATATAAAAGGATAGGTATAAAATAACTGTTAGTAACTCGCAAAATATTGGAAATGTTTGAAATAGGTAATAAGGAAACTTATAAATCCCGCTTATGGCATGTATTATAAAACAATATAAAAAGTATAACATACTTTACTATGAACTAACATCTAAATAGCGAAATTCTAATACCTATATCCAGGTATTAGTCAATGTAGCAAATTCGGTATATTTTTTCTATTTGAGTATGCGACGATTGTTTTACAGTTGACATTTTATGCAAACATTTTTAAATTCTAGGCCAAGCATATTTTTAGCTAAAAGGATCACTTGAGATTATGCTTATATTGAATATCGGAAAAAAAATTGTAGACAGTCGTTTTTTGTTACCTCACTTTCACAATAAAAAAACTGGAGCGTTTTTGTTTATACAGCAACGGCATACCAGGTTTTCTAAAAATGTTGGTCAAAGATTTTTACTTTTTAATACAAGGTTCTTGGAAAGTCGTTCGTATAGTGATATCGTAAATACATAAATAGGTACTGGTATGTTTGTTTCTGGCTTGTAAAAAAACAAGCTACAGAAGCAAATTCGTAACAAATTATAATTACGAATACTTACGTATACGTTTCGTTCGAAAAGTTTCGAGAATACGAAATTTTGAAACATTAAGTAAAAATGGCGTATTACGTTCATTTTGCTCGTACGTTTTCTTCACGTAGTTTTCGAGAATAGACCCACAGAGCATATACACCGAATTCTGCCTACATTTTTAACTTATTAACTTTTAAGTCCCAAAATAAACACGATAGGATTAAGGAAAAATTTAAATTTTTTTATGATAACAAGAGCCATAAGCCCATAACTCGTGTAGGCTTCGATACTAATGAAAACAATAATTATATATCAGTATTATACATTTACACAAGATCGATATTCGTAGGTACCTAAGTACATAAAAAATAGAAAAACAAGTAAAATAATTTCGATAACACCAGGACCAATAATGCTAATGTTATGATATTATAATAATATATTTTGTATGATAATAATTAAACAAATTGTATTGTACTCCAGGTACTTGAGTCATAATAAAATCAAGGATATCGAAACAGAATTATTTTCTTTTATGACAGAATATGTCTCTTGTGAGTCATAATATACCTAATATAAACACTTTTAAATGCATAGACATTATTAATTAATTATAATCCAGAATATAAACATATTATTTTCAGAGATTTGAGCAACAATATAATAAGTGATCTGAAAGATGGTGCATTTGTGACCCTTGAGAAGCTTCGGATATTGTAAGAATAAAAATTAACAAATAGGTAGTGATTATATATTTATTTGTATGATATTATTACCTATATATTATCTATATAATAAATAATTTGATTATTAGAAAATTGGATAAAAATAAAATCGAAAACATCGAGACTGGGGTTTTTAATAGCTTAAAAGCTTGGAAAAGTTATTCTTGAATCACAACAAAATTCATAAGCTCAGTTTTGAAATGTTTAAAGGACTTACAAAACTGAATGAACTGTAAGTATTTAACACATTTTTCATAATATTTCATGTGTAGCCGAGTGAAAATGACATTTTATATTTTATAAATAGGAATTTGATGGACAATATGATAAGAAATATTCCACCTGGGATATTCGATTCATTAACGTCGTTAGTCTATTTGTAAGTCAGCATGAACTGCGTACAATATAATATTTATTATTTATATTATAATCATTGTTATAGTTTCATTATTTGAATTATATTATATTTGTCTTAACAAAACATTAATGGTTTCTACTATAGACGGTTTGACAAAAACCCGTTGACGTGCGATTGCGATATTCAGTGGTTTGTAGGGCGAATGTAAGTTCCCACACGAGATATAGCAGGTAAAAATTACCTCTGGATATCCATACGTAAGTTCCCACACGAAAAAAATTACACTTGTACGTAAGTTCCCACACGAAATTTCAGACACATAATAATGTTTATATACATTGCTTATAATTTTAACTTTTAATTCGTTAATGCTCATCCTTGCCAAACACAAACTTCCTTCCCACTTTATTCAGACTTAGGACTGACAACTTAAACGTAGTTGGTGTGGTTAAAATTTGTTTTGTTTTTGTACTGCATAAAAAAAAGTCCAATTGAATCTAGTCCGTATAATATATAATGTGTATAATATTTGTATATGTATAAAATAAAAATAATAATAGAAAAATCAAATTTTATTAGGTTTATTGCGATAGCTCAAACACTATATTGTAAAGTGTTATTAGATCAAACAAAATGTGATTTTTTTTTTATTATTATTTATTTTATACCTATACAAATAATGTGTGGAAGAAGAAAAACAAAATAAAATATCAGATTGACTATGTGAGTATTTGACTATGTGAAGTGTTTGAGCTTTCGAAATAAACCAAATAAAATTTGATTTTTTTCTATTATTATTATTATTTTATACCTAAAAAAATTTAATTTAAGTTGTCATTCCTAAGTCTTAATAACTTAACTTACGTACAGTTATAATTTTTTCCGTGTGGGAACTTACGTCCGGGAGTATTTTTTTTCGTGTGGGAACTTACGTACGGGCGTATTTTTTTCGTGTTGGAACTTACATATGTACTCGCTTACCTGCTATGTTTCGTGTGGGAACTTACCAAACCCCGGTTTGTAAACGTGCTGAAGAAAAGTTACCCCCCGCGAGATGATATGGGGTTTCACGATCCGAATTGTGGTCCGACGTGTCATTTTCCCTTAAAAATTAGCGGGAAATCGTTGATGGAAATGAACGAAAACGATTTTCATTGTGGTGAGAAAAATCATTGCAATTGAATAAAAAGACATAAAATATATTATAACATAATATTATATGATATAATCTTCATAATACACTGTCTGCAACAGTGGTGTACTTACCTCTTTATTGTTGTACAGCTGGCTATAAGTGCGTTTCGCCGTAATGGATTATTATTGTTTGACTGATGTTGTCGGGAACGAGTTGTTTTGTTTAATAATGTGGTAATTTTGACGTATGTATTATATAATATATTGTTGTACATACATCGTTTCCGGATGTAACCGTGGTACCAGTGAACAAGACTGTGTCGGTCGGTGAACAGTTAAAACTCTGGTGCAAAGCCGTAGGAGACCCGGAACCTTCTATAACGTGGTCCAAAGACGACATCGATCTAGAACTTGGCCAAAGAGTTCAGGTAAGATTATTTTAAGATACGCGGTAGGTAATTGATCTTTCGGGCAAACCCTGTGAAAAATCAGCTTATATATTATAATTGTGCACTGTTGTTAAAAAAGGTGCCGTTAATTATTTAATTTATATTCATTGCATAAACTCCCTAGGAGTAATTTTCCCAATAATTTAGCGTCCCTAAATATTTTCTATTTGATGCAACTAATACTCCTGCTCCTCAACCCATAAAGAATCTAGGACAAAATCCCACCACCAAAATCACTCTCGAACTGTTTAAGTTTAGAAAAAATTTGCTTACCACTAATAATAATTTTTAGGTTCTAAGCGGAACTCTGATGTATTTATGTATTGATTTCACAATGATGTGTGTTTGTTTTGTGTATGTCATCACTTTTAAGCACAGTAGGAGTGCTTTCATTTCTGATAAAAAAGTGAATCTAGTTGGTACTGGGTACTTTACAAATGTATGAGGAATCTTGTATTACGTTTTCAAATCTTAGATTTTTCACAAAATTTTTTTTATGAATTTTTAACTCAAAATAATTTGGAAAGTATTTTCATTTTTACGTAATTTGTAAATATTTGAACTTATGAAAAAAATTTCACTTTGGATTTTTAATTTTTTTCATGCGCTTTTGAAACAATAAACTAGGAACCTTCTATTAAATTTTTAAGCTTTTTTAACCCATAAATAAAATTTTATCGATATTTATAAAAAAAAAAAAACTACAAAATATGGAAACTGAAAATGTCCTTCAAGAGCTCATAATAAGTTAAAATATTTTGAAAATGTTATGGTGTATAGAAAATGCTAATAAAAACATTCAGTCAAAATTGCATGTACCTACTGTCATTTGTTTAATAGTTGCACCAAAAACCAAAATCGATTTTTTCAAAAACAGATTTTGTGTAAAAATTCCCTTCTTTCGGAAAAATTTTACTTTTTACCCCCCTCCCCCCAATAAAAAGTACCAACTAGATTCGCTTTCGTATCAGAAAAGTTACTGTTGAAGAAAATCCAAGCACTTTTACTGTCCTAAAATGTGATGACACATACAAAAAAAAAAAAAAACACACATCATTGTAAAATCAATACATTCATCGTTTCACTCAGAATCTAAAATAATTTCCACCGTTTTATCGTGTACTTGACTAGTGATATCGATTCAATCCGTGAGTGTAGTGAGGATGAAATTAAGGTTTCAGGACACGTGCTGCAGATAATATAGGATACGCATAGGATTCCAATACAAACTATTGTATCGGATTCGGATACATCATAACTCATAAATCCCGTTTGGAAAACGTATACGGGCGTAGTGTCAGAGCAATAAAAAAATATAAATAAATATGGGGCTACTCCTATATTCTTCTTGTTAGAAAACAAAACGAGAGAAAAGGATAAGGTGTATTTTTTCTGTATACGTTCCGCATCTTTTTTTATCACTATCCCGATTCTACTTCTATTACTACTACTAAACTTCTTCTATGACTTCTTCAACAGTTCTATACTTAATATACCGGTACTGCTAATGTCAACTTACATACTATTACTATTGCTTCTTATATTACTCCTAAAATAATACTCATACTTCTACTGCTAGCATAGGATATTTATATACTTTATACTAATATACGACTAACTCTTCATTTTGTTTACCGCGGTGCATGGTCGAGTGAAAAATCAAATAAATACACACTAAAACCACCGGAGGCAGCTGACAACTTTTTTTCATTCACTCTTTCCGCCATTCGAGAGACTTGTACGTTTTTCCAAGGATGCAGGTTTAATAACGCCATTGTATACATACATACACAGAGCGACAGAAAGAATATTATTATTATACGTTTATTCTTCTTATTCTGATAAATCAGTACGTGGCACACACACACACACACACACACACACACACATTATTACTCCAATACCATGAATGATGGCGCAATACTGTTTTTCTATGCTTACGATATTATATATTCACATATATAAACTTTGCAGATGTCCTTCAGTTATCGTACTTTCAGTAATATCTGTGCTGTATTTCAATGTTTATTTTGTAATTTACAAGTTTAAATAACTCTTAAAAGAACCAATATTTTTTAAAATTTTACAATGTATATAGACTTATTTAGTTTAAATTATATTGATTTCGTTTTTGAATTACAACAAATATACAAATTCAATTTGACCAAAAACTAGTTTCGATTATCTATTCCCGTTTTTTCCACCAAAAATAATGATAGTAATAATATTTTATTTAAATTATTTTACATTTAATTTTTTTATGTACACGTTATACTTATGTGTAGTTTCCATAATTTCCAATTTATATTAATCATATTGACACTTTAATATTTTATTATATAATATCGTGTCGTTTATTAATTAATCTATTAACTGTAGGTATAATATGAATAAATAAGTGTTTTGTTGAATATATTTTATAAAGCAGCTAATGGTATTTGGTAGCAATGTAATTTGGATAGATACAATACTATTATATAAGTGAAGAAAAATCTTAAAAGGAGTTATTTTAATACTTAAGTCTTAAGACTTTGCAACAGAATAAATCCAAATACTCACAATATCCTTAAAAATCATTAACTCGAAAACTAAAATAACCCGAGTTGTCTCCAGTGATTACGTAACGTCATAATCATTTCCCAACGTTTATTAGTTTAATTGAATCTGTAAAATAGCTAGTATTAAATCAAACTAGTCATTAAAATAATAATAATAAGACAGTTACGAATCAACTATTTATATGGAAAAATCTAAGGGGTTGGCAAGCGCAACGTGTGCAGGATGCAAAACGCAAAGACCTCTAACCTAACCTAATAAAAATATAATTATATTATATGAAATTGAAATAGTTATCGGATACGTATTTTCCATGAACAATTATTACCAACATTTTCAATTTTTCATTAACTTTTTCGTTACTTATATGCGTAGAGACTGCAGAAATCTTTAAAGAATACCTACTCACGAAATGAAATATCTGATCTAAAAAAGTTAGTACATTATATTTGAACACTTATATTAGGTACCATAAATAGCGATAACCATAAACATAAAAAAAGGGGAGAAAGTAGATAACCACTCTGCTGAACAGTAGATGTCGGGTTAGTTCTCGTCATTGAGTAAGTCACTGTAGTGCAAGTGTTAAATTTAAATTCAATGATAAATCTTTGCATAAAAAAAAACGATTATGATCGAAGACGACCATTTATATATTACTAATTGTATTT